CAAATCGTGGGATTGTAGTTGTTCTCCTATTTAGGCTTTGTTTCCTATTTTGTTTGCTAGGACTCCTCTGTGTATTAGTCTATAAATATGACAATGTAAAGAGGTAGTAAATATGAATGAGAAAAAGGATTTCTCTCCATCTAAAATTCCACATGGTATCAGAGCTCTAGGCTAGATTTCTGAATTCCAAATTACAGCCTTCATTGCTGTCTTTTATTCTCTAGAAAATTTTTCCTTCGAATGCAGCCTTCATAGCTGCACTACTACTCTTGTTTTCTTCCTGACCTTTACTCTCCAAAAATGTCCAATTCCGAAATCACACCGAAAACCACAGATCCGACCCCTTCTACCAAAAAACCATTGGAGGAGGTCGCCTCAACACACATGACAGGTGATCTTCAGAATATCAGACCAGCCCTCATTTTGAATGAGAAGAACTATCTCAAGTGGTCACAATTTGTCAAGACGTATCTGAAGGGTAAAGGAAAACTCAGCCATCTGTTTGGGACAGGACCCAAACTAGGAGATCCTAATTTCGATGCGTGGGATGAAGCTGATTCCATGATCATGTCATGGCTATGGAATTCCATGGAACCAACCATAAGCGATACTTGTATGTTTCTATCAACAGCAAAAGAGATCTGGAATTCTATCCAATGGACGTACTCAAAGGCTCGTGATGTAGCCCAGGTATATGAAATTAAGGTGAAAACCAGTGGGACAAAGCAAGGAGGTAAGACTGTTACTGAGTATGCTAATTCTCTGCAGAACTTATGGCAAGAACTCGATCATTATCGAGTACTCCAGATGCGGTGTCCAGAAGATGCGGCCATTTTGAAGAATCTTATTGAAAAGGATCGAGTCTATGATTTCTTAGCCGGGCTTAATTCTGAATTCGACCAAGTCAGAATTCAAATACTTGGCAAGGAGGAAGTGCCATCATTGGAGGAAACAATTTCCTTGATCCGGGCAGAAGAAAGTTGTCGATCCGTCATGCTCGAACCATAAATAGTAGAAGGGTCAGCCTTGACAATCAAAAAGGTTGATGAAAAGGGTGACTTGCCAAGGAAAGACAACCGGGACAACTTGTGGTGTGCCTATTGCAAGAAACCGAGACATACAAAGGAGCAATGCTGGAAACTGAATGACAAACCAACTACTTTAGGCCGAGAATGGGTGAATCGGGCAACATAGTCAAGGCCCCGGGTCCACCTAACTGAGCAAGTTAGTCACGAAGAAGTTCAGGAGAAAACAGTCTTCAATAGTGAAGAAATTGAGAAAATAAGAGGTTTGTTAGGGTCTCTTAATAAACCCTCTGGTGCATGTTCTCTAGCACTCTCAGGTAATTCTTGGATTGTTGATTCGGGGGCTACCGATCATATGACTCACACCTCATCCCATTTCAGCACCTACACACCTTGTCCTAGCAATAGGAAGATTATTGTGGCAAATGGTTCTCTTGCGACTGTTGCAGGGGTTGGAGATATTTCTATCACACCTAATCTTGTCTTTAAAGATGTTCTTCATGTCCCTAAACTGTCCGCCAATCTTATATCCATACAAAAACTCACAAAAGATCTTCATTGTCAAGTCATTTTTTACCCATTCTACTGTGTTTTCCAGGATCAGGACTCGAAGAGGAGGATTGGACTTGCTAAGGAACAAAATGGGCTGTACTACCTTGAGACACCTCTCACTGCAAGAAGAATCATGAATACTCTATCTTCATCGTTTCTTAGTACTTCAAATAAAGAAGCTATTTGGCTTCATCATTTTCGTTTTGGTCATCCGTCCTTTCAAGTCTTGAGTATTATGTTTCCATCCTTGTTTAAAGGTTTGAATATTAAAGATTTCCATTGTGATGTTTGTGAGTTAGCCAAGCATAATCGTGTACCATTTCCTATTAGCAATCGTCGTAGTTCTAATCCTTTTGACTTGATCCATAGTGACATTTGGGGACCTTCCACGATTCCAAACATCTCTGGAGCTCGTTGGTTTGTCACTTTAATTGATGATTGTTCTAGGATCAAGTGGACTTTCTTACTCAAACATAAATCCGATGTGAGTAGTATTATTCCTTCCTTTCATTCCATGATTCAAACTCAGTTTGGGGTTAAGATCAAGGTCTTTCGATCTGATAATGCTAGAGATTACTTCAATCAAGTATTGTCCTCGTATTTTCAAAAGGAAGGTATTATCCATGAATCATCTTGTGTGAATACACCCCAACAAAATGGGGTTGCTGAAATAAAAAATGGTCTTCTCCTTAACACAACTCGTGCCCTACTGTTTCACGGGCAAGTTCCTAAAACATATTGGGGGGAAGCTGTTCTTACAGCCACATACATGACCAATAGACTACCCTCTCGTACATTAGACCATAAGATTCCTGTGGAAGTTCTTTCTCAGTTCTATCCTCACTTTCGTACATCTAATGGTCTTACACCTCGAGTCTTTGGTTGTACTTCCTTTGTCCACATTCATCATCATCAACGAGGAAAGTTAGATCCTCGCGCAATCAAATGTGTGTTTCTTGGTTACTCACAAACACAAAAGGGCTACAAATGTTACCATCCCCCTTCCAAAAAATTCTATCTCTCTGCAGATGTCACTTTCGTTGAAAATAAATCCTATTTTTCACAACCTTATCTTCATGGGGAGATTTCAGTCATGGAAGATAAGGGCCATGGTGTTATTGATAACCTGGATTTAATGTTCAATGTCCCTGTCAACCCAAACTCGTCCACTGTAGCTCATGAACCTACCTTGAATCCTATCTCTTGCCCACCACAATCTCCTACATACCAACCTGATTCTGTTCCTATTCCCACTAGTCCAACTCAACCTGGTTCTGTTCCTATTTCCACTAGTCCAACTCATATCCATGATTCTGTGAGATTTTCTCAAGTGTATTCAAGGAGGACATCCATTCCAACACAAGAGCAGGTCCAAAATGCCACTCCGGGTGCTGCCAATGAGAACACAGTATTTTCTGAACCTCCTTTGAATAAATAGCTTAATGATACACCTGAGGCTGATCTTGATTTACCTATTGATGTTAGAAAAGGGATTAGAGAGTGCACCAAGAAACCAGTTTATCCACTATCAAATTATGTGTCCCTTAATAGATTATCATCACCATACCAAAACTTTATTGTGAGTTTAAACTCTATTGCTGTCCCTAACACTTTGTCTGAAGCATTGTCAAAAGAGGAATGGAGGAATGCCATGATAGAAGAGATGAAGGCACTGAAAAAAAAATAAAACGTGGGAAATTGTTGATAGGCCAAAAGGGAAAAATCTAGTTGGGTGCAAGTGGGTATTCACTGTAAAGCACAAGGCAGATGGCTCTCTAGAGAGGTACAAAGCAAGATTGGTTGCAAAAGGTTACACTCAAACATATGGAGTGGATTACCAAAAGACATTCGCACCAGTGGCTAAAATGAATACGGTAAGAATTTTACTGTCCTTAGCTGCTCATTTTGATTGGGAACTTCAACAGTATGATGTAAAGAATACATTTTTACACGGAAATTTGGAAGAGGAAATCTACATGAGCATTCCACCTGGTTTTGAAGGACAGGAAACAACAGAAAAGGTTTGTAGACTTAAAAAGGCACTATACGGGCTCAAGCAGTCACCTAGAGCTTGGTTTGGATGGTTTGCTAGAGTCATGAAGGCATCTGGGTATAAACAAAGCCAAGGAGATCATACACTTTTTATAAAACATTCGGACGCAGGAGGAGTTACAGCATTATTGGTGTATTTTGATGACATAATAGTCATGGGCAATGATGAAAGGGAGAAACAGCGACTGAAACAGTACTTGATTCAGAAGTTTGAAATAAAGGAGTTAGGAAAGTTACGGTATTTTCTGGGAATTGAGGTTTCGTACTCAAGGCAAGGGATCTTTATTTCACAACGAAAGTATGTGACGGATCTTTTGGAAGAAACCGGGAAACTTGGTTGCAAACCAGTAACTACTCCGATTGAGCCAAACCAGAGACTAGCAGAAGCACAAGAGGAAGCAGCAGTGGATCGAGAAATGTATCAGAGATTGGTCGGAAAGTTGATCTACCTTGCTCATACCCGACCAGATATCTCCTATGCAGTAAGCTTGATTAGTCAATTCATGCATAATCCAAAGCAGTCACATCTACAAGCTGCTCATAGAGTCCTACACTACTTGAAAGGGAGCCCAGGGAAGGGAGTATTATTCAAGAAGAGTCCTGATCTTAAGCTTGAGGCTTATACAGAAGTGGATTATGCTGGATCCGTGGTCGACAGGAGGTCTACAACTGGTTATTGTACTTTCCTTGGAGTTACCCTGGCAACTTGGAGAAGTAAAAAACAGAATGTGGTGGCAAGATCTAGTGCAGAATCTGAGTTTAGGGCAGCAGCTCATGGAATATGTGAGTTATTGTGGCTCAAGATCATTCTTGATGACTTGAAGGTCAAGTGGCAAAGTCCTATGAAGCTTTATTGTGACAACAAATCTGCAATTAATATTGCTCATAATCCTGTGCAGCATGACAGGACAAAGCACATTGAGATCGATAGGCACTTCATCAAGGAGAAACTTGAAGAAGGACTAATTTGTTTGTCTTACGTTCCTTCAGGACAGCAAGTGGCAGATGTCTTGACCAAAGGACTTAATGGTGGAAGTTTTCACGAGCTAGTTACCAAGCTGGGAATGGAAGATATCTATTCACCAGCTTGAGGGGGAGTGTTGAGCTGTAAATATCCAGATTATATGGCTGTAAATATATAGGATAATTGACTGATTGATAGGAGTAGATTTTTCCTATTTAGGAGTTTTTTTATTCTGGTTAAATCCCACAAATCGTGGGATTGTAGCTGTTCTCCTATTTAGGCTTTGTTTCCTATTTCGTTTGCTAGGACTCCTCTGTGTATTAGTCTATAAATATGACAATGTAAAGAGGTAGTAAATATGAATGAGAAAAAGGATTTCTCTCCATCTAAAATTCCACACTTGTTTTCTTGAAGGAAAGGACAGGAGAATGCCCTTATTCAAGTGGGAGGACTCTGGTTTTTATCCTTGTAGTGGTATTGAGAGTCTCCTTCTCACGTCCCTGGTGAAAATTGGAGAGAATAATGAGCTCTTGGTAAATGATCCATTGAGAGACCTAGGTCGAGCAATTGTCCTCGAGGAAGACCCTGCGAACCCTGGAAAGCGCAGCAGGCTGTGGAATCACAAGGATTCCCTCAATACCTTAAAGAGAAAAAAAGTAAAATATTCTTGTTTTGGAATACTATGTATGCCATGCTTCGTGACTCTAAACATTAGGATTCACTTATCTTTTCTTCTTTCAATCTACAGGGAACGAAGAGGGTTCAAGCCCTCTGTCTCAAGGTCGACGATAGTTTAGACAAGTGTTTCAAATGGGAAGAATTTCAAAGCCTGTCCGAGCTGAGGTTCCTCAAATTGGACAATGCATATATCCGGGGAGATTTCACTAATCTACTCTCCAGTTTAAGGTGGCTCGACTGGCGAGGGTGCCCGGAGACCTTTGAAGCCATGAACTTGCATCTGAAGAAGTTGATGATTCTTGATTTATCACGGAGCAAGGTCACTCATAAATGGAAGGGCTGGAGTCAAATCAAGGTGACATGGAACATATTTCATTTTATTTGACTCATCACCTGGAATTAACTTTGTCTGAAATATATTCTCTTTTGGATTACAGATGCCACAATTGAAAGTTTTGAACCTCACAGGGTGTCATGAAATGATGAAAACTCCCAACTTCTCCGGTTACCCGCAGTTGGAGATGTTGATTCTCGAAAGCTGTCTTGAATTGGTCAGTATAGACCCTTCAATTTGTGTTCTAAGATGCTTGGTTTGCTTGAATTTGAAATCATGCAGAAATATTTGTGAGTTGCCAACGGAAATGGGTAACATGGTAGCGCCGAAAGAGCTTATCATTGATGGGACTTCTGTACAAGAAATCCCTAAATCGATACATCGTATGAAGAAACTTGAAACTCTTAGTGCCTCCAATTGCTGCTCACTAACTGAGCTGCCCAAATCCATTTGCGATATAGAAGCTCTTTTGATGCACTTGCTCAAAAATGCAAATAGCTGCAAACTCCCCGATTCAATTGGAAGTTTGGTGAAACTTAAACGGTTGCCGTTGAGGGACTGCCGGCAGATACAGAAACTTCCAGAATCTATCGGCAAACTAGGATGCTCATTGGTGGAGTTGGACGTATCGGGGACGCCTATTTCAGAACTGCCCGATTCCATGAGAAACTTGCATCTACTGAGAGTTCTTAAGATGGAGCATTGTCCTGTGAGAAAGTTTCCTATTGCCATTTGTGAGCTAAGCAAGCTTGAAGAGATCCATGCCTCCCACTGTACGAGTTTGGAGGGAAGCATTCCTCATGAAATTCACAATCTGCAATTACCGAAAATATTGATCCTAAGATATAGTTGTGTTTCTAGACTACCAGAGTCAATCCGGTTGCTAAACCGTCTCGAAACCCTTGATTTACTTCTTTGCAACAACCTTTTAACGTTGCCAGTGCTTCCCCCGAGTTTGACTTGTCTGCGAATAAGCTCAAAGAAGATGAGCATAATCCCAGATATTCAGCATTTAGTTGAATTGGAAGAGTTGAGCTTCGGCGATGAGAATCCCAAGGAGCTAGTGGTTTCTCCCAACCCCGCATTTATTTCGACCAAGCAGAAGTCCCCTTGGCCCGTAACGTTTCCGAAGCTCAGGAGCTTAGAGTTTTCTCATTCCCAAATCCTCAATTTGAGATTTGAGTACGGCTCTGCATGCGTTCCTCAGCTCAAGAAAGTTTTCCTGAGCGGCTCGAATCTTGAAGAAGTATCGGGGCTTCCCTCATTGTTGTCCATCTTGTCAATCCGAGCTTGTTCGTCGCTGACGAGTTTGCCGACAGTTGAGAATTTGAGTCGCTTGTTGAAGCTAGAGCTCTTGAACTCGGCTGTCAAAGAGATTGAAGGGCTCGAGGGGCTAAAAAGCCTCGAAAGCCTGGTGGTGTCGGATTGCAAGATAGAATATCTCGACGGCCTCTCCGAGTTGAGATCATTGAAGAGATTGTCTCTCATGGACTGCGATTCTCTCAGGTTGCCCGACCTGTCCAAGCTCACCATGTTGAGAGTCCTGGAAATCCATCAGTGCCGGAGGATCCGCGAGATCAAAGGCCTCGGGGAACTGACATCCTTGGAGAAGCTGGACGTAAATGACTGTAAAGCTAAAGATTCATCAAGAGTAAAACGAGCCCAGAAGAGTATCGCAAAACGTTTGAGGACATCCCGTTTAGCGTGATCATCAGGTCATATGACGTGTCTGGTTTTTGCTTCCACTGTAAGAGACTCTGTCCAAATTTTTCTTTTCTAATTTCTTAGCATGCTATTGAGGATAAGTGGAAAAACTAATCATTCTTGGAGTTTCAATTTATCCAAGAGCAGAGAAGTTGCATGTAATTTAGACAGTTTCAGATAAAATGGAAGATGATAAGGGCCAAACACCAAAGCTTGGGAAGAATATAGGACTCTATTATGAAAAGGTTGTCTCAACGACGATTGAATTTGCTACAACATTGATGGTGAGACCCACAACATGTAGCACTTCTAAACCTCGCATTACGCCACTTCCGAGAGTTATTTCCTTTCCACTTGAAAGAGTGAATATAAGTTTTCTTGAACTTTTTTTTTTTGGTAAGTAAGTTTTCTTGAATTTTTTCACTGCCTGATCCAAGAAAATCTTCAGTTGAGAGGAAATTTAAAGGGCGTGCCAAATTTGGGAAAATAAAATATAGGAATGGAAAGGTTGGAATTTAAAAGTGAAATGCTTTGATCGTAAAGTGAAAGGAGAATCAAATTTTTTCAGGAAATTCGAAGTGCGATGGAAATTGTAGCGCAACATGAAAAGTAGAGGGATAGAAGTTATCATAGATGTCGATGCACACCTCCAATTGGATCTACCACCACGAACACAGGTTAAGGCGTCCGGGATTTTTATCCTGGATTGCTGTCCGATGCTTAAGTTGGAGTCTGGAGGATGATGGCAACACAAGAAGTTTTATAAAGGAGTCGAAAGTTTCAAACCATTTTTTCAGCTTCCAAATGCCTATATATAGGTCTTTCTGCCCCGGTGGTCGGGTTGGTGTCGAAAGGTGACCGAACTTTGGCAAGTGTGGCTGAATCCTGATCACACACAAATGGCTATACATCAAGGCAAGTATGATATATCATGGCATGTGGTGGTCATAACTGCCACGGAGCCAATGGCCGTCTAGTCTTTTAGACGAGTTAGTTAGAAAACGTGCCTGACGTCTAATGGCGCGCGAAACCCGTTAATATCGTCGGCATGTGCTTGAAATCAGATGATGAAACTGCTCTGTATTCGGAGCCACGGCTACGAACATAACAATCGCTACAAACACGAAAGCCGAAACAGAGAGATATCGTAAAAACTTCGCAGTACATCTTAAAATGGTTGTATTCATCTATATTCGCAATAATAGTTTGCTCCATAGCAGTATTAACCGCATTTTACACTTTTCGGACTCCGTTTGTTTCGCAGAAAATCAATGATTTGGAAAATATTTTCCTAAAAACAATCTCTTGAAATAATTAATCAATAGAAAATATTTTTATTGTCGATAACAATTTATGTCTGAATATTTTTGTAGACGATAAAAATATTTTTCATTCATTCATTTTTGTAAGCAATATAATTAGTGATTGTTTTGAGGGGCCATCGAGCATCAATAAGAAGAAGAAAGATGGTTGAATTGCTTTGCTGAAAAATACCATCCACTTTATCATTCCATAAGTATATCGATCGGTCTGGGCTTTTAGACATATCTAAAGTTAAGTTTTATCCGCACTGGTCCGACTTTCGAGCTTTAGGCTCCAAAGTGCAAGAAGCCTGCTTGAGATGACTATCTAAAATATATAATATAGTGCTTGATTGTTCGAATTTGAATTCACATTGGATAACAAATTATTCTATCTAGTGTTTGGGGACATCCTCTAGACCATATAAATTTAGATATGTCCGTATAAAAAAATTTCGGGACATGGTTAGGATAAACTCGGATAGGATAAATTTTAAAAAATTAACTTAACAAAACAAGAAGAACAAGATTTCGATCGTCGTCAACAGCCGATCATCATTGCGCCAAACCATCGCCGACCGTCATTCCTGGAATTCAGTCAATTATTATATCCATATAGCCATTTTTTAAGTAGCTTGTATCTGCATCACATGTGATATTCTCCGTTTTACATTGATCCAGTCGAGCTCTGTTTCTCCATCTTTGTGACGTAGATAGGGGGTCGTAACACTCGCACAAGGGTTGCGCAGACAACGCGCAACCATGAAGAAGCCGATCATGAGGACGACAGACGGACGGACGGACGGCTGACTCGGGGCACCAGGGGGAGTGTCGGACGTGGTGGAGTGGAGGCCGGAGCAGTGCGGCATGGTAGACGATTTTTAAAGATTTTCTAAGTGCACTAAACACATGATAGGATTTTTCACTATTATAATCCTACCCTAATCCTAATCTATGTCCGGACAACCAAACCCAATCCGCCGAGCAACTGCTGGCCCTTTGTTGGCCACTCTCTCCGCCGACCTTTTGTCATTTCACTTGTTCTTTTCTGGGCAAGAATTAACCGTTGCTATGCTCGTTCCGTGTCGCTTGTTCACCGGGGTCTTATTGTTACTACGTAGGGTTCTAAAATAGAAAGTTACTGGAAATCTAAAACCTATAATCTAATAAAATAAAATTAAGGTTGATTATTTGGTCCATTACAAGTGTATATAAATCCTTATGTTCATCATTGGACAAGTGACGTGTGTTAGTGACTAATTTTCTGATTGAACTTTTTCACATGTTAACCATCCAATCGTGAATGTGTATTTTATATTTTGTACCCGCAATGGACCTAATAAAACTTCTAAATGTAATGTGGTGCACAAAGATAGACATGTAAGGAGTTGACACGTGGGGCAACAACTAAGTGATACTTGGCCCGTTTTACTTTATTAATTGTTAAAGCTTAGTAATTTATATACTGTTTTCCTAAAAGTAAAAATTTTATGTCTCCAATTATTTATTTATTTTTGCTTAATGTGTCCTATCAATGATCGGACAAAAAACTTCTCTATCTTGTTTCCAATATTGTGCACTCGAAAGACATGCATGTCCCTTTTATGCATATTTTGATTTTTTTCCTTTCTTTGAAACTACTTACTTTTAAAATATATAATTATTACATCCACTATTGATGTAGACTTTTTTGTGAGTGGACCTAATAAAAATCCTTTTAAAATGGATAATTTTCTAAATATTTTCCTCAACTATTTTTATGTCACAGTGTCCGCATTATTTCTCTATTTGATTTTTGTTTTACTGAATTTTTAATCTCGTGGAATGTACATACTTATAGATGGATGAGAGAGTAATTTCTGTTTGTCGAAATTATTTTCAAACAATCCATAAATTTTTTCACTTTCCAAATTTGGATTCAACGCAGTTGCGTCATCCTTCCGATTTTATAATGATTCACGAAATGGAAGAATAGATCCAATCTTTACAAAATACTATTTTTTTACAAGCTTTGTAGTTATCACTCGCACAGAATTATTCTTTGAGGTCAAGAATATTTGGACCGGAGATTCATATCACTCTGAAGGGCAATTGGACACATTGAAAAAAGAGTATACTGTCATTGTAGAATAGCCAGTTGGCTACAAAATGAAACTTATAAAAACGAAAATACGGCTTAGTATCTGATCGAATAGTTCTACGCTCAAAACTATCAATTGATGCAAACTGCAACTGTTGGGTATCTAGGCCAATTCAAATTAATTAGCGAACTTACCTATATTAATACCTGCTGTGTTTGTTGGACATGTGGCTGGGTGATAGTGCTCTTTTTTTTTTTTGGGTGTGAAATGTAAGTACCATTGATAAGTTGACGTACAAAAGCTTATGGGCATACCCCAGCATTACAAAGAGGACTATGATCATGAAAAAATGGAGTGTGGGAGTCTCCATATATTAGCCAATATTACATTTGCCCTAGAAGATCTGAAAGTTTTGTAGTGCGAAACTCGCCCTCTGACAAGTTTACGAACTTTAGCCAAGATGACGAGGGCATCATGTGACTTGCGTTGGAAACATCTATGATTACGCTCCATTCAGATGCGATAAATGGTCGCTAGGAAAGATACCCTGAGAAGTCTAGCTGCCAAATCCTTGCCTTTGGTAGCACTTATTATCCATTCGAGTTCTTCATTCCATCCTTCTATATACCGTAGGATTCCATATTGTGCAAGGATAGTACGCCAAATGCTTTTAGTCTAGGTGCACTGGAAGAATAGATGATCTCTGCTTTCATTTCTGTCGATAGTGCTCTTTATAGTCTTGATCTAATCTCCTTTTTTTCTTTTTATGTTATGTACCAACTATTGTGAACTTCCAATGAAATTTCGCTTTGCAGTATATTAAGTTGATATTGCCATTTCAAGATGAATTGGCACTATTAAATATTTTCATCATCTAGTTTAATCTAATATACTATACTAAGTATTACGTTAATGAGTGCTTCAGGGGCATTTGTTAAGCAATCGATTACAGAAATTATAAAAATTTTAATACACTTATTGTACTCGTATTATTCAAAATCATTCCAAATAAAGTATACTTGACAAGTGACCCTTGTACCTAAACCGACTTGAGTGCATTTAACATGGAAGTGTTTTCTTCCTGGAGATTTGTTACTGTCAACCACGCTGGTGTGGTGATTGTGAAACAAAACAGCATGGATACAAGTAATACAATCTTTCATTGCTCTTTCTTCTCCACCATGCAAATTCAGATACGGACATGGAGTAGGTATGGTATTTTCCTCATTTTTGGGTCGTGAGAACAAATATATCAACGGTATTTTCTTTCGCTTGCAGATCGTGGCAAGGGAAGTTAAAAGTTAGTAAGATCAACCTCATACAACAAAGAGAACCCGAAGCAGCTACATTGCTCCATCGAGGAAGATTACTCCAGCAAGGTAGGGTTCATGCCTATGCAGCAACGGAGGAAGATCGTTTGCTTTGGATTTGCAAGAACCGACGACAACTAATAGTGGAAGTACCAATCAAGTCCATTTATACATAAGCATGTGACATTTGGTACCTTGAAGGTACCTCATAACTTTCTATGCAACTCTCCAGTGGTCCATACCTGGATTACTCTGATATCTTCCCAATATTCCCACAGCAAAAGCAATGTCAGGTCAAGTGCAAACCTGAGCATACATTAAGCTTCCAATAGTAGAAGCATATGGAATGTTCTTCATTTTTTCCCTTTCTAGATCGTTCGTTGGGCACTAGTTCAAATTAAACCTATCACCCTTCACAATAAGTGCTATACTTGGTAAATACTT